TTGTTGTCCCATATCACATGTATCCCTTTCTAGTTTAAGAATGTGATCTAGTTAGAACTAGTACAATTGTTATGTTTAGCACCATAAGAGTTAGTTAGAGTTAGCTGGTCTTTTATCCTATAAATAGGTGGTTAGGCCTCTCTAGTAGGCAATTGATGATATTTTGATATTGAATATTACAGAGCTTGAAAGCTCTTGTACCCATTTTGGGATTTTTCTCTCTCTAGTGAAATCTCTTTCTTAATTGGCTCCATCATTTTGGTATCAAAGCATAGGATTTGGATCCTATCCTTCCAAATTTTGAGTTATCACACCGAGAATCTGACCTGGTTCTTGCCTTTTGATCTTCGACTTCCCTTGAAGAAGTGTTCATCTCCCTAACCCCCTACACTACTACCACCTCCACTTCACCTACTCCTTACCTACTACACACTCACCCTCTTCTATATATAGGAATCATGAATCATTGTAATAGATATCAATATATCAATCAATAATAATACATACAATTTATTCTCTCTCTTTCTCTATACATTATTCTACACCACTACCACCTCCACTTCACCTACTCCTTACCTACTACAAACTCACCCTCTTCTATATATAGGAATCATGAATCATTGTAATAGATATCAATATATATCAATCAATAATAATACATACAATTTATTCTCTCTCTTTCTCTATACATTATTTCTTACAGGTAATATATTGCTGCTATTATTTTGAAATGACTTTTCATATTCTAAAATGCTTTGTTATGTTTTGTTTTGGTGATTGGGCGTGAGAACACATAGTTTCTGAAAATGAACTAGCCAGCATAGTTCCTAGTTGTAAAATCATGTACGAGGCCTACATTACACGGACTTGGGTGCAGGTATCGGGTGCGGGTGTGTATTTAGAGGTCGGACACTTCGAAATTAAAAATTGAGGATACGTGGATATGGATCCAAATTTGGATATAGGTACGGGGATACGTTAAATAGTTATTTTTAAATATATTTATTATATGGAGATGAGTTAAAAAAAGTTAAGGAATAACATATTTTGTTAAAAAAATAACAAATAAAATATAAATAACAAACAAAAATTATTTCAAGAATAAAATAAATAATATTATAGATGATAAAATAAATTATTTTTATTTTAGGTATAAAAATTATATTATTTATGATATATTATATTATACAATAATATTCTATAATATGAATAATATTATTATATTATACAATAATATTTTATAATATCAATAATATTATATATTATTATATTAATGTAATTTATATTGTATAATATATAAGAAGAGAAAGAGGACAGAGAATAGAAAGAGAACAAAGAAGAGAAAGAGAACGGAGAGAAACAAAGACAATCGACAGAAGGAGAGAGAGAGAGGGAGTAGAAGAAGAGGGAGATCGAGAGGAGAGGAGAGGAAGAGGGAGATCGAGAGACAAGAGAGAAGACAAGATCGAGAGAGAGAAGACAAAGAAGGAGATCGAGTATCAAGCGAAGAAGATTGATGTCGAAGTCGAAGCCGTTGAAGCCAACGACTAGAGGAATCGAAGTCGGCGACCAGATCGAACAGCGAACGGCAACTAGGTTCTCTCCTGCTCTCTCCTCTTTCATTTCTTTTGCCATATCCATTTGTGAAGAGCCATATCCCGGCCGTATCCCGCACCCGCACCTGCACCCGAGTCGTGTCGTGTCGTGTCAACATGGGTATCTCCAAAAATCTAAAGAGTCCGTGTAACGTAGTATGAGGCATAAAGCATGACATTAGTTATTAGAATTTATATTAGGCATATGGAATTTGTTGATAAGGTGCTTTATAGTAAAGGAAGCTTCAAATGTCTCTAAATGATAATGTGTCTTTGCTCAATTCTTTATCTAGAATGATGAGCCTGACAGAGTGTGTTGCCATGATAATCCCAGAGTAATGTTGCCAGGACAAATCACTCAATGTTGGTGATAAATGGGTTTGGTTTGGTCACTTTATTCTTCAGGGATTTTCTCAAGCAAATCGTTTTTAAGATTAATGATGATCATAATGTTCCCCCTTTTTCTCCATTACAGTAGGATTTGAAAAGCGGATGTGCCTCTTGAAGGTAAGGTTGACTTTGGCTCATAAAAGTCTCATGACCAGACCAATGACATCTTTCAAAATCCTAATTGCAATTTTTGTCCCCAATGGTGTCTATGGGTTATTTGGTTGGTGATGTAGTTAGAACTAGTATGGTTGTTAAGTTTAGCACCATAAGAGTTAGTTAGAGTTAGTTGGGTCTTTTATCCTATAAATAGGTGGTTAGGCCTCTCTAGTAGGCAATTGATGATATTTTGATATTGAATATTACAGAGCTTGAAAGCTCTTGTACCCATTTTGGGATTTTTCTCTCTCTAGTGAAATCTCTTTCTTAATTGGCTCCATCATTTTGGTATCAAAGCATAGGATTTGGATCCTATCCTTCCAAATTTTGAGTTATCACACCGAGAATCTGACCTGGTTCTTGCCTTTTGATCTTCGACTTCCCTTGAAGAAGTGTTCATCTCTAGTTCGCAGAACTGAGAGTTTTTGCATCAAGAAACTCAAGAAATTTGCTTGAAAGAACAATGTATTCGAGTATGTAGGGTTGCGATTTCAGATCTGTTGGACTTTTTGATTCAAGACCTGAAGCCCTAAGTCAATTTGAACATCATTGTGTGATATCCCAACACTAACGTGAGCTGCAATATTCATTCTTCAGTGATTTCTGAGTTCTGGGTTTGAATTCTGCCTATTTCGAGCCAAGCTATCAAGATCGCGACTTGGGTTCCGTGGATTTTCTGGTTCGATTCGAAGGCTTGAAGCCTTGAAGAGTTGAGCCTCGTATTGCGACTGAATCTGGAACATTGTATCGCAGATTGAAGTTGGGACCTTCCTTTTACAATTCGATGCTATCAATTTCATGAATCGTGATTGACTTCGTGAATCCAAAGGTGCAAGTTCTGGGTTCACGACTGGTGACTGGTGCGATTCAGTTCTTGAACGATCTGCGTTCTATCGTTTCTTGATATTTGATTGATTCTGCTGGGGCTGTGAATCAAACTTCTTTGATCGACTTGATTGGGGTAACTAATTCGACTTCTGTGCTCAATTCTGTTGTTCGACTTTCATTTGGGCTGTTTCGAATTCAATTGCCATTAATCAATTCTATTGTATTGGTGGAGATTACATTCTTGGGTGATATTGTTGTGAGTCAACTCTTGATTCTGGGTTCTTCATATCTGCTTCTGAATTTCTTCTTCTTGGCTGGAATTTAATTTCTGCTTCTGTGGCAATTTCTTCTGTGAGTTGAAATTGTTGTGTGCATCACTATTGCTTGTGTATGGCTCAAAGAGGTAGAGGTCGTAGGGGATGGCCATGGTAGGGCTTATGCTCCGAATGTAGGTGTAGAAATGAAGATGAATCACTCAATTGAAATGAGCATTGGAAACCAAAATCAATGGAATAAGATTGAAGAGTTGAGTGCACTAATGGCTACCTTGGAAAAGTGCAACGCTTGCAACTTCTTTCCAAAGGCAGTATTGGTTCCAAGGATTATCAACTTGATGATTCCTTCGGTGCTCCGCATAGGCGTAGAGCATATTCACATGGGTTTAGGCCTCGTTTGGGAACAAGCTAATTTAGTAACTTTTTGGCTATTTGGCTAAAAAGGTAGGTAAAAAAAACTTGTATGTTTGGTATGACTTTTTGGCTAATTACGAAAAGATGTGCAAAAAGTAGAGAGAAAAGAGAATCTTTGACTTTTTGGTATGGGTTGTTGGCTTTTTGGCTAATTTAATAACTTTTTGGCTAATTGGCTAAAATAGCCTCTTGCCAAACGAGGCCTCTAAATGGAATGACACCGCAAAGGATGTTTGTTTGAGAGAGAAAAACTTAGGGAATAATTAGACAATTATCCCTTTTTATATTGATAATAGGTAACTTACAATGGAAGCCTTAGAGACACAAATAAGGAAATAACAGCTAATAGAATAATCAATACACAATAACTAAAGATATTATTCTAACACTCACCCTCAAACTGGTGCGAAGATGTGTCTCATGCCCAACTTGCCAATCATAGTATGGAATGGTTTGCTTCCCATTCCCTTAGTGAAAATGTCTGCTAGTTGTTCAGCTGATTTCACAAAAGGAGTACATATAGTGCCTCTGGTGAGTTTCTCCTTAATGAAGTGACAATCAATCTTCACATGTTTTGTTCGGTCATGCTGAACTGGATTGTGAGTTATGTTAATAGTAGCCTTATTATCATAGTAAGGTCGCCTGGAATCAGTATAACTAATCTCCAGATCACTTAGCAGCAACTTGATCCACAAGAGTTCACATACACCTTGTGCCATGACTCTAAACTCGGCCTCTGCACTAGATCGGGAGACTACGAGCTTGTTTGGTTTGTTTTTGGGAGAGTTATTTTTGAAAAAAAATTTGGGAGAGAGTTTAGAAATTTTTTTAGTTTGTTTCGTTATATATTTTGGGAGAGTTGTTTTTTTTAGAGTTTGGGATGATTTGATATTTTGGAAGAATTTGAGTAGATGTGTGTGAGAGAAAAAGTGATTGAGAATGAGAGAGGAGAGAGAAAAAGTGATTGATTGATGTGTAAGAGAGAGAAAGTGATTTTAGAAATTTTTTGAGAAAAACTCAAACCAAACAATTTTTTAGAATTTTTTTTCTAAAACTCATCTCCCAAATGCAAACCAAACATACCCTACATTTTGCTTCTTGCTTCTCCAAGTAACCAAATTACCTCCAATAAACTGATCCTGCCCAATCCGCATCTGTATAAGCTTTCATCCGAGGATGATCATGTTTGGAAAAATATAGACCTTTTCCTGGGGAAGATTTCAAGTATTTAAGGATGTGTATTACTACAACCAAGTGTATCTCATGAGGAGCATGCACGAATTGGCTAACCACACTTATTGCCATGGAAATGTCAGGACGAGAATGTGATAAGTAAATGAGGTTATCCACTAGTCTCTGATAACTCTCCCCTATCAACAATAGCTCCCCCACTATCATCACTAAGTTTATGGTTTGGCTCTAGTAGTGTATCACAAGCTTTACTCCCAAGCATCCCGGTTTCTTTCAATAGATCAAGAACATATTTCCTTTGACAGTTGAAAATTCCATCTTTGGACCGGGCAACCTCAATACCTAGGAAATATTTCAGATTTCCCAAGTTTTTTATTTCAAACTCGATTGCCAAATATTTCTTCAACCGGAGTATTTCCTCATTATCATCTCCTGTAAGCATTATATCATTTACATAAACAATGAGAGCTGTAGTCTTACCATGTGAGGAATGCTTCATAAACAAAGTGTGATCAACCTAATTCTGTTTGAAGTCATATTGGAGCATAGCCAGAGTGAATCTCTCAACCAATCCATTGGAGATTGTTTGAGTCCATATAATGACTTCCGAAGTCTACATACTTTACCCTTTGTCTGATGGTCCTCAAAGCTAGGATGGATGTCCATATACACCTCTTTTTCTAGATCACCATGTAAGAAAGCATTTTTTACACATCAAACTGATGAAGTAGCCAATCCAAATTAGCTGCAAGAGAGAGAAGTACTAAAAGAATGAAAATAATTATTTGGCTTACCCATGAATGAGGTAGAGGCCATGTATATATAATAGATTCACGATACAATTTAGAAAACGATATAAATAAGGTAATAATACTAAATCAGTGATTGACACAATTACAGATTATATACATAATACTAAAAATAAAAAGATTTTATGTACTCTAATTTCTATATTCAACACTCTCCCTCAAGGTAGTGTGAAAATATTCAACAATCGCAGCTTACCGATGGATGACTGGAAGAAGTTGAAAAAAACTCAACAGTTAGTCCAAATAAATGCTATCAAACAAATCTGATAGTCCACTAAATAAAAAAGGCCAAAAAAAGTGCTTAATACATCAGCACCACACCCTAGAAAGGGAAGAAAAACAAGGATTGAACTACCCTAGAAGAAACTGATTGGAATCAATGTCGGGACAGTTTAAAGGGGTCATGCCGGACCATTGTAAGAACTGACCGGAATCAATGTCGGGATAGTTTATGAGGTCATGCCGGACCATTGTAGGAACTAACCAGAATCAATGTTGAGACAGTTTAAGGGGTCATGTCAGGCCATTATAGAGACTAACTGTATGTTGAACCAGCAAGTGGCACACACATAACTTATGATGTGGCGCTAAACGATAATGGCAACAGATGACTGAGTGTGCCAAAGGGCAGCTTATTAGAAAGTGTGCCGGGGGCCGCTTAGGTGGTGCGCCAAGGGGGTGACTTGGGTTGTACGTCAGACGAGACAACTTGGGTTGTGCGCTAGATGGGGCGACTTAGGTGGTTCACACGGTATATCACCATGCTTATCATGATATAGGTATAATATCCCTCTCAAACTCAAATAGGTTTGAAGATAGAAACCTATTTGAGGTTGAAATAGAAGGAAAGGCAAAGTAGAACAGAAACACAAAAAAATGGATTGCAAGTAAAAAAAATATGATAGAGATATTTGGGATAGGAATAAACTACTGGATAGGGGAAAGATCACTACGAAGTGATACTGAAAGAAAATATGGCAGTGGAATCGGTTGAGATCCGGCGGGCGACCAAAACAAGGCTGCCACCTGTCGGTGAAGCAAAAATTACTAGGTACTTAGTCTAGCTCTGATACCAAAAAGAATGAAAAGAATTATTTGGCTTACCCATGAATGAGGTAAAGGCCATGTATATATAATAGATTCATGATACAATTTAGGAAACAATACTAAATTAGTGATTGACACAATCACAGATTATATATATAATATTAAAAATAAAAAGATTCTATGTACTGTAATTTCTATATTCAGCAGTACTCTGATTAAATTCATTTTAGCCACTGATGCAAAGGTCTCTTGATTGTCTACTCTATAAGTTTGAGTAAAGCCCTTTGCCACTAGTCGAGCCTTGTAACGCTTAATTGAACCAACTGCTTTATGTTTCACAGTATATACTCATTTGCATCCCATATGTCTTTTGCCCTTAGATAACTCAGTTAATTCTTCCTATCACCTACTTCACCCACTTAAACCTACTCCACTAAACCTAACCCACTACACCACTACCACCTCACCTACTCCACTAAACCTAACTCACTACACCACTACCACCTCCACTTCACCTACTCCACCTACCACCTACTACCACCTACTCTTCTATATATAGGAATCATTGTAACATTCAATACATAAATCAATAATACAATTCTCTATTTCCCTTTATACATTAAATTTCTACAATTCTCAAGTGCCATTCTTACGAAGTGCTTTCATTTCTTCTATCATGGCATGTTTCCACTTCCACTCAGGGATAGCAAGAGCATCCTGAAAATGATTAGGTATACTGTAGAAATTTTAATGTATAAAGAGAAATAGAGAATTGTATAGATATTGATTGTATTATTGATTTGTTGATTTATTGAATGTTACAATGATTCCTATATATAGAAGAGTAGGTGGTAGTAGGTGGTAGATGGAGTAGGTAAAGTGGAGGTGGTAGGTGGAGTAGGTGAAGTGGAGGTGGTAGTGGTGTAGTTGGTTAGGTTTAGTGGGTGTAGTGGGTTAGGTTTAACAGAAGAAACTTTGGACACAAAGGCTCTATAAGAAGGAGACAAATTAGAGTAGGACACAAAATTAGAAATGAGATGTTTAGTACAAGACCTCATACTCTTTCCTTAGGCAATAGGAATATCAAGATCAGTATACTTAGGAGGAATAAGGGTTTCAAAGTTACTTGGACTCTCATCAGCAGAAAAAGATAGCAGTGGATGATTAAAAGTGATCTCTTGTATCCAAGTAACTTTCTGTCTGTCTTTGTCTTTGACATAGACTTTTCCCTTCTTCAATTCATTAGATTCTGTATTTTCACCACTAATAGTTAGTTCACCTTCTGTGTTCTCAGCCACTGGTGATGAGCCACAAACTGATATAGATCCAGGAATCCCTTCATATCATGGCTCTCCTTGAAGGGAGGACTGGGATCCCGAGGAGGACTGTGACAAGAAATAAGATTGTGCCTCAAAGAATGTTACATCCATGGAGACAAACCACTTACGAGATGGAGGATGGTAACGTTTAAAAATCTTTTAAGTAGGAGAGTAACCCAGAAAGACACTTCAGAGAGCGGGGATCAACTTTACCATGAGAAGAAGCATGATTGTGGACAAAACAGACAACCAAAGACTTTAGGGAGAATAGAGAACATAGACTCAGAACCTGAGAAAACCTGGAGAGGAGATTTTTTATGCAACACTTGGGTTAGGAGATGGTTAATGAGGTAGGCAACAGTGAGAATTGCGTTGTTGGGTCGATGGACCCTGATAATTACTTGGATACTTTCGTAATTCCCATGTGCTTCCATGTAACCCTAATTATATACTTACAAATAGATGAGGGGGCACCTCTTTTAGGTTAAGAAAGAGTTGTATTTTTCTGATCATAGTGAAAAACCGTAGCAGCCATGGACGTAGCCCTATTCTGGGGTGAACCACGTAAACCCTTTGTGGTTTTGTGTGCGTGATTTGTTTGATTCGTTTTTCTTCTTTGTTTGTTATTTCGTGTCTCACTGATCTTGGTTAGGAAGGGTCAAATTCCTAACAACTGGTATCAGAGCATTGGTTCGAGTGGGAGTGATGGCTACAGACGAAAAGGTTAGCATTGATAAATTCAATGGCACAGATTTTGGATTTTGGAAGATGCAGATTGAAGACTATCTGTATCAGAAAAAACTGTATGAGCCCCTTTCAGGGACGAAACCAGAAAAGATGAAGGATGATAAGTGGACTCTTCTTAATTGCTAAGCGCTAAGTGTTATTCGGCTAACGTTGTCTCGTAACGTTGCGTTTAGCGTAGCGAAGGAGAAGACTACAACGGGTCTCATGGCGGCACTTTCAAACATGTATGAAAAACCCTCTGCCTCAACGAAAGTTTATTTGATGCATAGATTATTTAATCTGAGGATGACTGGAAGTGCTTCGGTGGCTGAGCATCTGAACGAATTCAATATTGTGGTAACACAATTGAGTTCTTTATCTATCGAATTTGATGATGAGGTTAGGGCTTTGATTCTTCTATCCAGTTTGCTAGAAAATTAGAATGGTACTATAACGGCAGTGAGTAATTCTTCAGGAAAAGAAAAATTGAATTACGATGATATTCGAGATTTAATTCTGAGTAAAGAAATTCGTAGGAGGGAATTACGGGAAACATCAGGTTTTGCCCTGAATACAGAAGCTAGAAAAAGATCAGTAGGAAAAAATCCGAACTACAACAGATCAAAATCCAAACACAGAAGCAAGTCAAGAACTAGAGAGGGACGGAGTTGCTGGAACTGTGGGAAGAAGGGACATCTAAAGGGAGATTGCCCGACATTGAATAAGAAAAAAGGTGATCAAAATCAAAAGTTTGCTAATGCTGTAACGGAGGAGACTTATGATGCTTTGATCTTGAGTATTGATAGCCCTCTTGAATCTTGGATTTTAGATTCTGGGGCATCATTCCATTCTACTTCACAGAGGGAAATCATGGACAATTACATTAGTGGTGATTTCGGGAAGGTTTATTTGGCTGATGATGAATCTTTGAAGATTGTGGGTAAAGGGGATGTAATAATCAAGTCACCAAACGGATCTGTTTGGAAGATACAGAATGTCAGACATGTGCCTGGTTTGAAAAGAAACTTGATTTCTGTTGGACAACTTGATGATGAAGGTCATGTTGTAACCTTTATGGGTGGTTTGTGGAAAATCACCAAAGGAGCCATGGTTGTTGCTTGTGGTAAAAAAAAAGGCACCCTTTACATGACTACAAGCAATAGGGATGCAGTAGCAGTTGCTGGTGAGAAGGAAGACTCAAATCTGTGGCACCAAAGGCTTGGGCATATGAGTCAAAAAGGGATGAAGGTACTTGCATCTAAGGGGAAATTGTCAGATTTGAAATCGATGGACATTGACTTTTGCGAGGATTGCATCTTTGGCAAACAAAAGAGTTTTAGTTTTTCAAAGGATGGCAGGAAACCGAAGTCAGAAGTTGGAGTTGGTTCATACAGATGTGTGGGGACCTGCACCAGTTTCATCTCTTGGAGGATCATCATACTATGTTAACTTTATCGATGACTCAATGAGAAATGTATGGATTTATTTTCTAAAACATAAATCTGAAGTATATATTACTTTTAAGAAGTGGAAAGCCTTGGTGGAGACTGAAATAGGTCTGAAAATTAAGTGCTTCAGATCAAATAATAGAGGGGAATATGAGGACAATGAGTTCAAGAAATATTGTGCAAAAAGTGGAATTGGAATGGAGAAGATTGTTCAAAAGACACCTCAACAGAATGGCGTTGCAAAACGCATGAATAGAACTCTAAATGAACGTGCTAGAAGTATGAGGACACATGCCGGATTACCAAAGATGTTTTGGACAGATGCAGTTAACACTGCATCATATCTGATTAACCGTGGTCCATCTGTTCCATTAGATGGAGAGCTACAGAAGAAGCTTGAAGTCGTAAAGAGGTAAATCTTTCTTTTTTGAAGGTATTTGGTTGTGTTTCATATGTGCATATAGATTCTGCTGATAGAAGTAAACTTGATCCGAAATCTGTTAAATGTACTTTTGTTGGGTATGACATTGCTCAAATTGGTTATCGGTTTTGGGATGATAAAAATAGAAAAATAATCAGAAGTAGAGATGTCATGTTTAATGAGAAAGTAATGTATAAGGATAGGGATAAGTCTGCATCTAAATCTGAATCTGCTACTTGTCATGAGCATGTTGAGTTAGAGGAGATTAGTGAGAATGATTTGAATAGTAGGATTCAGAATAATCCTGAAAATCTTATTCCACAAACTGAGCCATATACTCCTACTCCTAAGTTGAGACGGTCAGAAGAGAGTCTAAAACTACACAGCGTTGGTCTCCATCTTTACATTATTTGTTGTTGTTTGATGAGGGTGAACCCAAAAGTTATGATGAGGCTTTGCAGGTTGATGATTCAATCAAGTGAGAGTTAGCTATGCAGGATGAAATGGATTCACTCATGGTAAACCAGACATGGGAGTTGACTGAATTATCCGTAGGTAAGAAACCTTTGCACAACAAGTGGGTTTACAGGGTCAAACAGGAACATGATGGGAGTAAACGCTACAAGGCCAGATTGATTGCAAAGGGATTTTAGCAAAAGGAAGGGGTTGGCTACACTAAAATTTTCTCTCCAATTGTGAAGTTGACCACTATCAGATTGGTGTTGGGAATTGTGGTTGCTGAAGATTTGTATCTTGAGCAGATGGATGTGAAGAGGACTTTTCTCTATGGTGATTTGGAGGAGGAAATTTACATGAAGCAACCACAAGGTTTCTTGGCATGTGGCAAAGAGGAGTTTATATGCAAACTTCGAAAAAGCTTGTATGGTTTGAAACAGGCCCCAAGGCAGTGGTACAAGAAGTTTGATGGGTTTATGTGTAGCAACGATAGCAACCGGTTTTACAAGATGTCAAGCATGATTCGTTGTTTGTTATTTCAAGAGTTTGACAAAAAGTTAATATTATTTTGGCTCTTTAAATGTTTGATATAGTTATATCGCAGGAATCTAGTATTGAGAAGATAAAAAAGGATTGAAGAAACTCTTGTCCAACCAATTTGAATGAAGATCTTGGAGTCTAGCAAATAAAATCCCTTAGTATGAGGATTCACAGGGACGAGGCAAATAGGTACTATTGAACACATTGTCACAGGTTGAGATAAATGTCAAAAAAGTTTTCAAGAGGTTATAGCAATGGATGGTGCAAAACCAAGTGAGCACTCCATCTGGGCTAGCTACTTCAGACTTACCAAAAAGGCAGTTCTCCGAAGACCGAAGAGAAGGAAGCTTATCAATGGACACTGCTCGTTTCATATGCCTTTAGGCTATTTCAGTAAGCGAAATGTATGTCTAATGAGTTTGTTTACTAGACCAGACATTTTGCAACATGCAGTGGTGGGAGTGGTTATAGATAGCATGAGTGATCCAGAGCAAGCAGCATTGGTAGGCAGTGAAGTGGATCCCTAGATACTTAGAGTGGTACTATAGACATGGCACTTTGTTCAGACGAACCCGGCATCAGTTACATTGGTTATGATTGAATGCAAAGACTTGGCTGTGTGATTAGATAACAGAAAGAGTACTACTGGTTATGATACACATTAGGTGGTACGCAGTGAAGTTGGATTTCACAGTTACAGAAAGATTGTGGCCCTTTTTACACAACAGGCTGAGTAAGTTGCTAATTACTTGAAGCTAGGAAGGAGATAACTTGGATTACAGAATTCCTAGCAGAGTTGGGTAAGACGCAAGAGATAAGTATTTTGCAGTAGGTGACAGTCAAAGTGGCTATTACTCTTCGTTGCAAAGAATCTAGTTTTTCATTCTAGGACAAACCACATTCGAGCTGACGATACCATTTCATGTCGTTCACATTGTACGATGTATTGGAGTCTGTCTATCTTGAAAAAGATCCAGGCGTAAAACTTCGACAGTAGACATGGTTGGACACAAAGACAGTCACCATATGACAAACTGAAGTGTGTGCAACTTCAGGTTGCCTCGAGATTGATGAAGGAAGATCGAGTTGTTATGGTGTTTTCACTTTATGTGATGA